TGGTTGTTTAGTTATCCTCTCTCGGAGATTTTCAAACAAATCATCCTGCATTGAAAGGGCTGAGACACAGCACATTTTCTGTATCTCTTCGTATTCCCGTCTAAACAGGGAAAACGCAGTGCCACCGAATCTGTTCTGTTCTCCGTGACCTCATTTCCCTTCGCCATAACCTCAGGCCAAAGTTGGCAGTCTGAGCACTCTCAAGGACACAGCTTGTGGCGCTACATACACCGATACTCCCTCAGGTAAACAGGAGTATGTGGCCTTGAAAAGCTGTGGTGTGTTCACTCCTGCAATCAAATGTGCAAAGATTGAGTGTAACAAGCCATTCGGTGTGATATAGCTGGTCCATTTTAGCGATGTTTACCATGAAAATAACGTATGTGGCTTATTTCTCCCCCTGGTGTGAGTTTTTAGGTCCCGAAACCTCTAAAAAAAGCAGAAATTTGCCCACGAAAACGGACGGGCGAGGCGTGGGGAGGGCGCTGTTGACGCCTGCATGACCCCCAAAAGGTCGAAGGTCATGGGGCACGTCCGTTGTGCAATCTTAGCCGATTTAGCTTACACTACAACGCGAACCTGTCTATATTAGCAACCGCTAATGTTTCTATCTAGTTAAAAAATAAAACTCTAAATGAATTAACGTTATAGCCAAATGGCAAGTTTGTTTGTTTGTTTGCTTGTTTTTCAGGATTGAGGTAACACGTTATTTGTATTTGGGGGCAATATTAACAACATAGACTCAGCTGGTTAATTTTCAATCACTGTTTTCTTTAATCGCGTATGTTTTTGTCTATATATAAAATTACCTTAGTTGTTCACCCCTATTTGCTCTAGTGGACTATTCCAATCGACCCAAGATGGCGGGAGACGACAAAAAATCGGACTTCCCTGACCTGGATGACTTAATTATGGACGTTTTTAAACCCGACTTGTTCAAGGTTTGTTGAGTTTACAGTGCCCATACGCATCTAAACATATTCTAAACATCTGGACTTCTTTGAACGTTGTTTACTTTGAAGTTGAAGAAAAAATTATGCTGCTAGATGCTTATAGTAGTGGGGGGGGGGCGGTTTGACTGTTGGGTTTTTGGGGATGTCATA